ACCAAGCCTATTAAACAGCAATAATATGCTGCTACTACAACTCTAACAATACGTGTATACTTCCAAATCCTGTTGTGAATTAATGTCATTGATACTGATATCTGTTATATTTTACTTTAGACACGCGAAAAATAATTAATTAATACAACCACGTGTTATAACAAAAAGGATTTTTATTTTTTTCTGGCAGATAACCATAAACAAAAACTAGAGACAACAACTAGTGTTGCCTTTGACATTATAAATCTATAACACTCTCCCCCCACACCGAAAAAAAAACTTTTTATGCTACTTATTAATATTTCAGTATAATGTAATAACCTAAATAAATATTTTTTATTCTATAGTCTGTCCACATTCAAGTAATTGATTGACATGTCGTTTCCAATAAAGTCCATCCACTTCTATCATATAAGTTACACCCGGTATTAAAACTTCAATAATTTTACCCAAAGACCACTTATTTTTATTTTTTCTATGATCTCTCACCATCACCTTTTCACCAGTAGTGAATGTTTTAAAGTTATTTTTACTATTAATTATAAGCTTTACTTGCTCAGTATCAATTTTGTCCACTACTGGGTTTGGTCTTAATAACGAGAAACGACATCTCAACTCTCTGCCAAACATCAATTTTGCTGGACTCTGGCCTGTAGTTTTATGTACAGTGTTTCTATAATCAAATAGGAATAAATTACATGCATATTCAACCGTATGGCCACTCTCTACAATCTTTACTACATGAGATTTGAAAGACTCCACAAAACGTTCCGCTAACCCGTTTGTGGGTGGGTAGTATGTTGGAGTAAAAGTCTGGTTTACTCCCACAATTTAACAAAAATTTTTAAATTCTTCACTTGTCCATGTTGGGCCATTATCAGTAACTAGATGTAAGGGATACCCATACCTTACAAAAATACTTTTGAACACTTCAATTGTTTTTTGTGCAGTAATTTTATTCATAATATATGCTTCTGGCCATTTAGAGTAAGCGTCTATAATAACCAAAAACATTTTTGAATAAAGAGGGCCCAAAAAATCTGCATGTATTCTATGCCAAACAGTAGGTGGCTGCGGCCACACTGTTAATTTGGTTTTTTCTGGGTTCTTATGGTTTTGTAAACAAATAATACAATTTTTTGTTATAATTTCAATTTCCTTATCCATGTCTGGCCACCAAAAATAAGATCTTGCTATTTCTTTCATTCGTGTGGTGCCTAAATGGCTAGCATGTAACTCACACATGACATTATCTCTTATATTTTTAGGTATTATTACCCTATACCCCCACAACAAACATTCTTTTTCCATTGAGATCTCATTTTTTCTGACAAAATATGGTTCATATTCTTCACCAAGATCATTTTTTGCTGGCCAGCCATCTCTACAGTATCTAAGAATATCACACATAATTTTATCTTTTTTTGTTTCGCTTTGAATAGTTTGCCAATTTAATGTATTTAAATTTGATTTATGAATATAATTTATTGTGTTACATTCATAGTTATTTTCAAGAAATTCTAAGTTTTTAAAATTATCATCTTGACATGTGGTAACTACACGTGGCAAATAGTCAGCAGGGTTATTTTTAGATTTTATGTGTTGAATTTCGTAGTTAAATCCACTTAAGAAAATTGACCAGTATTGTAATCGCCTTGCTGCCATTTTTGGTATTCCATACTTTGGTCCTAATATTTTAGTTAGAGCCTCATTATCAGTTTGTAAAATAAATTTTTTTCCAAATAAATATTCATAAAATGTATTTACACCAAAAATTATTGCATAAGCCTCCTTTTCCAAAATTGGGTATTTCATTTGAGAATCATTTAATTTTTTACTTGCAAATGCTACTGTTTTTATAGACAATACAGCAGCTACCCCACAATCTGCAGAATCACAAGTTAATATAATTGTTGAATTTTGATCAAAATGTGATAATGAAGATGTATTTGCCACACTATTTTTTATTTCTTTAAATGATTTGTCACACTCTTCTGTCCACTCAAATTTATCCTTTTTTAGACAATCATACATTGGTTTTAATATAATTGCCATATTTTGTAAAAATCTGTTATAATAATTTACTTTCCCTAAAAATGATTTTAGCATTTTTATATTACTTGGGCGAGGCAAAGACAACGAAGGTTCAATTTTACTTTTTATAATTTTTACAGAATTATTATTTACTTCAAATCCAAAAACATCCAGCTTGTTTTCAAAAAACTTACATTTATTCTTTTTTAATTTTAATCCTGAATCTTTTAATCTTTGTAGAACAAGAATTATGATTTCATATGTATCTTTCAATGTCTTTCCATAAACATATATGTTATCAATATAAACAATTATATCTAGTCCATTCAATTTTTGTGTTAATAACCTCTGGAATGAACCAGGACCAGTACTCACACCATAAGGTAAAAATAAACACTTAAAGATACCTTCTTCAGTAACAATTGTTACTAATTTTTGGGATTCTTTATCTAATGGGGATTGTAAGTAAGCCTCTTGTAAATCTAATTCACAAAAGTAGTTGTTACCCTGTAATTTCATCAAAATATTATCAATTGTTGGTAATGGATAATGGTCTATCTTTAAATGCTTATTTATTGTTATACGATAGTCACCGCATAAACGAACCGTTCCATCTGGTTTTAAATCTGGAACAACTGGTGTCCCCCACTCAGAATACTCAACTGGCTCTATACGTTTATTTTTGATCAATCTATTTATTTCCTCTTTAACTTTATCTTTTAGAGCAAATGGAACAGTTCTGACAGGCATAAATACTGGTTTAACACCTGGTTCAATTAATAAATGAATTGGTTCTCCTCGAAAAACCCCCATACCTGGCTCAAAAAGATTGCTGAACTTTTCAAATATGTTTTGTATTAATTTATTTTTTGACGCTTTTTCACAAACCCTTTGTTCAAACTTTGGGGGCCACAATTGAAGTGAAGAAAGCCAATCTTTACCTATAACCTTGGGCAATCCATCTTTTACAACAAATAATTTCTGATTATTAACTTTAATAGATCCATAACTTATACTCAAATTTTCTATAATTCCTAAAGGCGTAGAAGTAGACTGGTCAAAATTAGTAAAAAGAACATTACATTTTTTTATCTCTAGCTCCGGGAATAACTTGTTTTTATCGAGTAAAGTAATAGTACTTACATCAGCCCCAGTGTCAACCTCAAACTCTAGTACCTTTCCATTTACAAAGATCTTTAAAGTAGTTGATGGAACTTTTCCTGTATTACTAAAACAGAAGATATCAAAGTTTTCAATGTCTTTAATGGGGAGGTTTTTATCCGAATTTACATCACTATTTTCTGAATTAAATTTTTGCACTACATTTAAATTTTTTACTTTTATTTTCTTATTTTTTCTACACACTTTAAAGATATGGCCTTTTACACCACATTCACTGCAAAATTTTTCTCGTAGGGTACAATGTGCTTTAATGTGTCCATTTTTACCACAACAAAAACATGTGATACTATGATGGATGGCTGGGTTTACATTTTGCCTAGCTATAACACTATGGTTTCTGTTAAAATATTTGCCTTGTATTTTAAACATTTGTAATTTTTCCTGCTCTTTTTATTATTAAAAACCATCTTATATGCTGTCTCCACAGTTTTTCCAATGTTAATTAAACTTTCTAATGGCTGATCGGCTTGTTTCAACAGTTCAAATTTAACTGAATCACAGTAAGTACCATTTAGTAATCTTTCCTTTATTTCTTCATTTAAATTTTTGAAATTGCAATATTTAGACAGTCTCTTTAATTCCATAATATACTGATCTATTGTTTCATTAGGTTTTTGACATCTGCTTCGAAATTCTGCTTGATAAAGGGCATAATTTTTTAATGGGTGATAGTATTTTCTCAGTTTTTCGCAAATATTATTATATGTTTCGGTAACCGGCGATATGGGTGTGCATAATGTGGTCAATAAATCATAAACGTTTGTGCTAAGTTTTGTTATAAGTAATGGGACCTTCTTTTCCTCTGGGATGTCGTTTAGAACTATGAAACATTCAAATTGTTGCTGGTACGCATTCCAATTTTCACCGGTGAAAACTTCCAAAGTAGTGATAGAATTCATTGTGCTATTAGAACTAGGACTAGTGATTAAGCGGACTGTACGAATTTTTTCTTTTTGTTTATCAATGTATTCACGTAAGTATTTTCGAACGTCTTTGATGGTATGCGTGTCCAAGAATTTTGTTTCTTTTGCTAATATATTAGCAATTTCTATTAATTCTTCTTTAGTTTTTTCTTGTATCCAAGATTTTTTTTCTTGTTTAATCAAATATTCGATTAGATCCATGTAATGGTAAAAACATTCATTCCACTTGTAGGTTATGTTACACGTTTGTCTTTGCGTTAAATTTTATTTCCTAATCTGGTATAGGAATTGGTAAAAAAAGCTAATTAATTTCACTCGTTTTGGTTCATCCTCGTCGCCAATTGTTATATTTTACTTTAGACACGGGAAAAATAATTAATTAATACAACCACGTGTTATAACAAAAAGGATTTTTATTTTTTTTTGGCAGATAACCATAAACAAAAACTAGAGACAACAACTAGTGTTGCCTTTGACATTATAAATCTATAACAATATCTTTCTTTTTCGCCTTCGTACAGTTAGGCTATAAAAATTAAAGTAAAATAGTTACATTATTTTTTAAAACACTAACGTAGTGTGGAAACTTTGTAATATGATATTCATATTAACTTGATTTTGAAAAACATACCTAATATCACAGAAGTATTTGCACTGCCATAATATGTCCGAATAATAGGACGTATGCCAGTGCAAAATTGGGAAAATCGGAGCTGTAGTGCATCGCTCTTTGAGTAAATACGTAGCCCATTAAATACACGCTCCTCCCCTATAAGGCGGCAGGACCCGACGGCATATTTCCGGCACTCCTACAGTGGGGGGGGGGGGGGTAAAGCCCTAATAGTCAGACTTGCTGCCATAATGCGAGCCTGTCTTGCTCTTAAATATGTTCCTAGGGGATGGAGGGAAGTGAAAGTCACATTCATACCCAAACCAGGTAAGAGCGACTACACTGACCCTAAATCCTACAGGCCCATTAGCCTCACATCCTTTCTCCTAAAGACGATGGAGAGGATGTGTGAAAGGGAATTAAGGGGGTCGGCGCTAATGAACTTACCACTACACGACAAGCAACACGCCTACAGTCTAGGCAAATCAACAGAATCGGCCCTTCATAAGGTAATTACAAACATTGAAGAGGCCATCCAAAACAAAGAAATATGTCTAGGTTCCTTCATAGATATAGAAGGTGCTTTTGACCGAACGAACTTCTCCAGCATAAAAGGTGCACTCGGTAGACACAAAGTTGAACCGGCACTGATCGACTGGATAGTTTACATGCTCAGTACACGAATAATAAAGATTGCTCAACCAATCCAAATTAAGAAAGTCTGGCCCGCAGGGTGGGGTTCTCTCACCTCTCCTGTGGAATATGGTCATTAATGAACTCATCAGCAAATTAAATGACAATCACTTCTATACAGTAGGTTATGCTGATGACCTGACAATACTGGTCTCTGGAAAGACAGCAAGCATAGTGTGCGACCTGACCCAAGCGGCTCTCCGTATAGTGGAGAGATGGTGCAGGGAACACGACTTAACCGTCAATCCAAATAAAACGGTTTTAGTTATGTTCACACAAAAACGAAAGCTGAATAACTATCATCCTCCAAGTCTTTTTAGCACAAAACTCCAGCTATCCTCTGAGGTAAAATATTTAGGTCTTACCTTGGACAGCAAACTTAACTGGAATAAACACATAGAAAACAAAATCAACAAAGCTAGTATAACTTTCTGGCAATGCAGAAACATGATTGGCAAAAGATGGGGATTGACGCCAAAAATCATACTGTGGCTTTACAAAACTGTAATTCGGCCCATGATCACATACGGCGCTCTGGTATGGTGGACTAAGACAAATGAAGCCACCATAATTAAAAAGCTTCAGCAGGCTGCATGAGAACTACGCCAACAGCAGCCTTAGAAGCGATGCTGGAGCTAACTCCGCTTCATCTACATATACAACAAGAAGCGACTTTAGCTGCCATCAGACTCAAGACCCTAAATCTTTGGAGTAAGAATAGTGTCCCTCATACAGGCATAATTGATAGAATTCACTCAAAAATTCCTATCCTACAAGCCAAATACGATAGGATTCCTAAACAATTTGTTTTCGATAAGAAATACAAGATACAGTTAAATGAAAACAGCCAGCCGGAAGGATTAAGCCCAAAAGAGCTTAGAATTTTCACCGATGGTTCTAAAACAAATGAAGGTGTAGGTTCTGGAGCTTTCTCTGAAGACCTCAATATTCACATATGCACACCGCTGGGTACCTATAACACGGTCTTTCAGGCGGAATGTATGGGTATCATTCAAGCGGCCATAGCAATAGATGCTAGGAAGGTTAATGACTTCCCCATCAGAATACTGACCGACAGTAGGGCGGTACTCCAAGCCCTGAGATGCAATGTGGTGAACTCGGGACTAATATATGAATGCCATCAACGATTAAATGAGGTATGTAAAAACAAATATGTGACCCTGCAATGGATAAAGGGACACAGTGGATCCAGAGGCAACGATGCAGCAGACGAACTGGCTAGAAGAGGATCGGCTTTGGCCACTATAGGGCCGGAACCAATCATACCAATCCCCTTTGGTAACGTTTGTTCACTGGTACGTAGACACTTCACTAATCAACACGCTCAGCTTTGGAAAAATCTAGTAGACTGTAGACAAGCTAGGGATGCCCTGCCTGAAATTAACAGTCGCTTAACAAAAGTTTTAATGAGACTGAACAAGCCGCAGATTAGGATAGTAACAAGTGCTATCACAGGACACGGCACCTTTAACAAACATTTATTTACTATAGGTGTTACAGATAGTCCCCTGTGCAGGGCATGTATGGGGGAGGAAGAAACGGCGGCCCACGTGCTACTGAAATGTCCGGAGGTCGCTACATACAGGGCTAAACATCTCGGCACGCCGGGATCACTCCCCGAAGTTGCATGCAACATCAAGGGCCTGTTGAGCTTCTTCGGAGAGATCTCATGGCTCGAATAATCACATTATTCCTGCCCACACGCAAAATACGCGCATAGACGTGGAGTTGCGGAAAACAGCCCGTCGTAAACTAAACTAAACTAAACTACACGCTCTTAATGTAGACGTATACTTGTAAATATGTGGAGTTTTCAGTAACAGACATGCCTCATATATCATAAGTTTGAACATTATTTTTAAAATTAAATAATAGATCTTTATCTATAAATTTGGCGTTCTGCAGTACTAGCCAATTGCAATTAAAATAATTTTTGTTTGGCTAATAATTCTAATTTAAAATTAATTTTATTTTAAAACATGGAATTCCTTTTTCATAATTAGCCATTTGTTTATTGATAAGCGTTATGTTTTCTTCGCATTTGAATCTTATTTGTCATCATGGATACGTTAAAAATTCGAATAATTATGAAATATGAGAGGAGCCGTGGTAGCTCAGACGGTTAGCGCACGCTGTAAATTTCATAGTATGCGAGCAAGCCGGGCTCGATCCCTGCCGGCACCAATAAAATTGTTAATTGCAGTTTTAAGTGCTGATTTACCACGTGCTCGGCAGCAATGGAAAACATAATAGGAAACCTGCATGTCTGAGAAATAAGAAAAAAATCGAAGACATATGAAGTTCGCCAACACGCATTGGGGCATCGTGACTGAAATTTCCTTGCCCTAAAACTTTCTCAAAAATAAGGGGAGGCCTGTGCTCAACAGTGGGACATATATAGGCTGTAACTTTAACTTTATGGAATATGAGTACCGTCATAGCACCAACACGGTAAAAGCGGCAGGCAACATCAACGACGTTTACGGAGCGAATACTACAAACGAACGCACTACCTGTAATTGCTTTGCCCGTTTCCGATCTGTAAAATGAACCTCGTGGTCATAAAAGGCTTTGGTCGTCAATTATGTATAAAAGACGATTGTGTAACCTGATGATACTCAGTCTACGGCTAAATTAGCAGCAGGTTTTAACGTTACCATTAAAACAATAATAGTCCTTATGCGTCATAATGGCAAGGTAAAAAAAGCTAGACAACTTACCTTGCACAGGCACTCAAACGAAGGAATTTTGAACCGCAATGTTACATGCGACAGAATATGGATTCTGTTTGACAATCGCAAAGCCTAAGCAAGTTGAAAGCTTGGGTTTGGATAAAATTTTATTAATTATAGGTTATAGGATCTCATACAGATGGTAACACCTATATATTTTTTTTAATTTAAATAGCCTTGTGAATCATCTTTGTTAGGTATAAATAAAATTTTATAAAATTTAATGACAAAAGTAAGATTTGTAAGGATTAAGTTAGGGTTATCTCAAATATAAAGAAAAACTATGGTTTCCATCTGTTTGACCTAGCACTGTACTACTTGCCGAAATCGTTTACGATGGGTTAATTTAATAAGACACTCCATAGCGTTTGTACTTATGGTACATTAACACGAAGATTATACAAAATAAATTATATTCTTGTCGCCTTATAGTATAATTGCATTGCATATCAACATCGCGTGTTACTTTCTGTACAGTGCCATCAAGTAACGAAAAGCTGAACTACCAGACCTTGACATACCGCTCACCAAGGACAATATTCAAGATATAATTGTCCTTAAAAGTGTGGTTTGCAAGGACCTTTCACTACCGTACGTGCACAAAAAACAGAAAGTTAAGAAAGTTGTGTTTGCTCCAATAAAGGTACACCGCTTAAAGATATTTAGAAGTAATAAAGTGAAAAAGATGGAACTTCTTCCATATAAAAATAATCCTAATATTATTTACATGGATCATTATGCAAACTTAGAGGTCTTGAATTTAATAAAATATTTAGTTTTAAACCACTCTTTCTAAAGGATGTATCCTTATGATATATATAACTGTTCACTTTTCATAAGAATTTCGTTTATCCTGTAAATGCGATTAGTATCGCAAACTTTGTTTCTAATTAAATAAAAAAATTAAATCTTAGCTTTCATCGGTGACAACATATCTGCATTTAAATTCTTAATCAAAGAGAAATGTGACTGTGTGCTCGTTGGTCAACTTTACTTCAGCCAGTAATTTTAAATGTAAATATACAGGCTCTCTTATTTTTTTAATCTAGTGAGTGCACTGCTGTTTGCTGGTAGAAATAGTTTAAAGGGTGGTAGCTCTACGCATAATAGGAGTCGACCTCGTAATAGTATAAAAAATCTACACAAATAAATTATTTATTTCCTTTGACGTTATGTAATATAAACATTAAGGAGGAAATATGGCAACATTTGAGTACTAAATCTTGAAAAAGAAAAATCATGACAAGTTTTTAACAAAAGAAATAAAAACTCTCTTACTTTCCACTAACAATGCCGAATTGAAAAGTTTCCCAAATCTTGTTGCTTGAAGAAACGTCAATATTATGCTAACGTGCATGAATCTGTTAGCAACACTATTTTTCTTCAATCAGTCGAACTGAAAAGTTTTATAAGTATCTAAAAATTAAGAAAGGAAGTTCACAGTCCTTGCCTATCCTTCAAGATGACAAATATGAACGTTTATGTGTTTATGTATGTATATATGCAAAATCATATTCGAAATAAGATATTTTTGTCTGGCCATAACAATTCTCTGCGTGACTAGAGCCCTCATAAGAGGAATTTTAGACACCGTATGTGATAATCCCCACTAGATGGAGTGACGACCTGATAAGACATGCAGGAAGTCGATGGATGCATGTGGCTCAGGACCGTGCTTTGTGGCATTCCTTGGGGGACGCCTATGTTTAGCAGTGGACTTGCGATGGGATGTAATGATGAGGATGATGATGAATTGCCAAGTTTGGACTTCATAATTACAAATATCTCACATTTTTTCAATTATCTAATACACAAAAAATAATGTTTGTTTATTCGTATTTTATGCGCTGCCATTCAGTTTATCTCATTGGGGTAAAACTTTGTAAGCTTATTCCTTACACTTGTGCGAAGGTTACAGGCACAGTACAATTAAATCACAGTAAGTGGCACGCGTCACATACTGTTATAAGGTTTACTCATATAAGACGCGGCCGGTGATTGCGAGTGCAGAGACGGGTACACCGTGCATGTTGCAGATATTTAGAAGTAATAAAGTGAAAAAGATGGCATTTCTTCCATATAAAAATAATACTAATATTATTTACATGGATCATTATTCAAACATATAGGTCTTGAATTTAAAAAAACATTTAGTTCTAAACCACTCTTTCTAAAGGATGTATCCTTATGATATATATAACTGTTCACTTTTCATAAGAATTTCGTTTATCCTGTAAATGCGATTAGTATCGCAAACTTTTTTTTCTAATTAAATAAAAAAATTAAATCTTAGCTTTCATCGGTGACAACATATCTGCATTTAAATT